ATATAAAATACATATTTTACATGCAAGTTCATGTTCTGTCTCTGTGTTTTAGACATTGCTAGTCTCTGTAAATGATTTTAAAATTAAATCGTTCTGACATCTTTCATTCATTTACTCTCATCATAGGACATGGAAGTGAGCCCCAATGAACTGATGAACATGCTTAACAAGATTATTTCCAAATGTGAGTTTCTTTAACACACACACACACACACACACACATATATATATATATATATATATATATATATATACAAATGAGCCATGATCCATTATGTAAAAGATTCTAATAAGATGATCCCTTATTTTTACCTGTAGATGGTGACCTAAAGACAGATGGTTTCACTATTGAGTCCTGCAGAAGCATGGTGGCAGTAATGGATGTATCCTTCAATATAAAAATGTCAACAGATAGGGGCTGAGTATTACATTTTGTGAATAACTGCACATACTGTACGTCGGTTTAGCCTTAACGGTCTGCTCTCAGAGTGACAGCACTGGAAAACTGGGATTTGAGGAATTCAAGTATCTTTGGAATAACATCAAAAGATGGCAGGTACAAACACGGTTAATTTTATTATTCATTTATTTCTTATTACTATTTCATCTCTGTATCTGATTTGAAGCGGGCAGAATGCTAGAGCTCACGAGCTGTAACTGACGAAAAAAACTGTCATTTTTACCCTTCCGATTGCGCTGCTAACATCATAAACGGTTTTAAACTGTCAATGTTGGCAAATGACCATGGAATAAGCAAGATAATCAACGGCTTGCCGTGCATTAAAGGATTTTAAATGTGCTTCGCATCGGGTGGTTCTTGGCCTCCACGTAGTGTATTTAAAATCCTTTAATGCATGGCAAGCCGTTGATTATCCCTTACTTATTTTATATTATACAAAATTAATGTTTGGGGGAGTATTTTGTCTTACAAAACTTTGATGTGCATCATGATTAATTTATTTATTTAATTGCTTTAGTAGTGAGTTTGCAACTTAGTATATTTAGCTTTCTGATGCATCCAACAGATTTCCCTTCACTGTCATAAATGTTTCTGAGCAATCTGTTTTTGTTAATACCAGGGCATTTACAAGAATTTTGATGCCGATCACTCTGGTGTGATTGGGTCTAATGAGCTACCTGGAGCTTTCAAAGCAGCAGGTGAGTAGTGTTGTCAGAACTGAAGTGGTTCACTTTTTGTTGCCATTTTTAAAAGGCATGCTGAAGTCCTCTATGTGCTTTTTTTCAGTATTGTGAAAAAAATGATAGTATATCTTCCAGTCATTATTCAGTCAACAAGTCAGATTGGAATAGAATAATATAGTTTGTTGGGTGTAATTTGTAATTTCTCTTCCCTCCTTCAGGGTTCCCACTCAATGACCAGCTTTTCCAGTTGATCATCCGGCGATATAGTGATGAAAATGGCAACATGGATTTCGACAATTATATTGGGTGTCTTGTGCGCCTGGATGCTATGTGTCGTACGTTGACAGATTGTTTTGCTCTCTTTATTCTTTCATCATAGGCTCAGTATTTTTTAGTTTCAGCATGAATTGCCTTGCTAATGTTGTTGTTGTTGTTGTTTTAGGTGCCTTCAAGACACTTGATAAAGACAACAATGGCACCATTAAAGTCGACGTTCAAGAGGTACTGTATGTGAAGTATAATTAAAGAACACAAAGAAACAACATCTCTTAAATTAGCTCCTATATAACATTCTTTTGTATTTTGCTTACAGTGGTTGCAGCTGACTATGTACTCCTGAATGAAGAAGAATATTCTTCACCATCTTGATTATGTTCTGTCAGTTCCTCTTTGCGGCCTGTCATTATCAAATGTCTGTCTGTTTTAATAACTGACATAATTATCGGTTTCATTGTTCGCTATGACAGCATGATCATACTGTGCCTTTACACTAGGTGGCAGCTTTGTTGCAACGCTTGCTTGGATTTTTAGAGGTTGGTTTATGCCATATTTCCATATTTTATTCCATTCCATTTGTGCCCTTTTCATTTATTCCATGACTGTTATTTTATAATTTACAAAGAGCATTCAACCATAGATTAAAAACCATGTTCAGAATAGAATCGTTTTAGAATAGATGATAGCTATTATTATTACAGAGCCATATTATTTAATCACTGAAAATATGAATCAGCTGTCGGTTTTGCTGTTATTATGCTGATGCTCAAATAAACGTTATTTGTTTTGGACATACAAAAGCAGATCTCCACTCATTACGTTTGCAAACACCGGTTGCTCTGAGCAACGCAAGTCCGCACCAGGGGGTGAAATAGAAAATGTCTGGCAGTTGCAAGAGCCAATTAAAATCCCCAGCGCAAGATAATGATTACAATAACAGCCAATCGGCATCACAAAGGGGCGGGGCCTCGGAGTTACCTGTGATGAAGTCAACTGGCTGCTCCCGCTGAGTAGATGATGCTGAAATCAGACCGACGAGCAAACACAGGTGTTGAGCGCGAGTGGGTGAACAAAACGGCTTTGTCTTAATTGCGCCATCCGCAGGGAAAATAACGCTTAAGCGTGTAACTGGTGTCATATGGTAAGCTGTTTATCTTTTTTTTTTTTTTTTTTTTTTTTTCGTTGAAAAATAAACTTTAGATATTTTTTTGTTACCTAACTTACTTAAAAGTATATCAGAGAATATGACGTCTGTTAATGCTGTTGTGTTGGGCTATTATTCGTTTTCAGGTTATTTTTTTTCATCACACCTATAGTTTATTCTGATATGATTAAGTTACTAAGGTTGTTAGGTTGTTGTTACTAAGGTTGAGAGCTTTATTCATGTAATCTAGATGTGAAGGCAAATAATAACATAATCATCAGAGAGATTTTGCTTCATGTGATTTGGTTTAAGATTAATTCCACAAAACAAATAAATAAATATATATATATATATACAAACACATTATTTACAATGTATTATATAAATATAAATAATATAAATATAAAAAATGAGTAAATCAAATGTTTAATTTGATCAGATTATTATTATTCAATGTTATTACAGCTCATAAGGTCAAATTTTGCTTTTACTATTTTGCTCTTGTTGTTGGATTCACAAGGAAATTTCGAAAGAAAATAGTATTTTCTGCTTTGATTTAGTCTACTGTACATTGCGCTATATAAATGCTTCATTCATTAGTTCATTCATTGTGTTTGGACAACGGTCTCTCACCAATGAGCAAATGAAATCCCCTTGTTAAGCCCATGTCCACCTGTGGTTTAAAACCCACGGGCAAATCAGTGCAATACATTATACAGTATGCAATATACAGGGAATGCAATAAGATGAATAAATCTTATCCCTTTTTAAGAGACTCATTTGATATTTTCAGGTATTAAATGTTGACGATTATCAATCAAGATTTCTTCTGCCTTCCTGGTATAATGCAAATCAAATCAAATAACAGTAAATGGGTTGTAGACTAATAATAATCAAAACATAAAAAGACAAATGTAAAGTATAAAGCCCATCATAAATTGGTGCAATAAATTCCGCTCAATTTAGGCTAATGGATCTTTGTCTGCATTAACCATTTCAGTGGTTTACCCTTTATAAAAGTATTGTGGGTTTGATGCCATTTGTTTCTTCAAAAACATTATGAAAAACAATTTTCAACTGTTTCAGAATCTGTATTAATGCATTTCATGATAACTTGCATTCTAAAATAATTATGAACCTGTGAACAACATTTACATTTGTTTTGAATTACTGACATAACTCTTCCATTGTCCTGAACCACAAGGATTATGAACTTTAATTAGTGATCTGGTAAAGGTGAGAGCCCACCATTCTTGCGATTATAGATGTTACCCATATGCCATGACATGATTTTTGGTCAACATATGATCAACCGTTTCTTACAAGCTGTACACCTGAATGATTCTATGGTGAACCAGACAATAGGTAGCTATAATATAATTAAAACTAATAAAAATGAGAAAAGATTTGTGTGGAGTGGCGTGTGGGGTGATTTGATGTTCTACAGATATATATGTTTCCCTTAAAATCATAGGACTATAAATACGTTTATGAAAATTCAGTCCCCATCGGGCCATCCAAGGTGTAGATGAGTTTGTTTCTTCATCAGAACAGATTTGGAGAAATGTAGCATTACATCACTTGCTCACCAATGGATCCTCTGCAGTGAATGGGTGCCGTCAGAATGAGAGTCCAAACAGCTGATAAAAACATCACAATAATTCACAAGTAATCACGAATCCAGTGCATGAATTAACATATTGTGAAGCGGAAAGCTGCATGTTTGTAAAAAACAAATCCATCATTAAGACGTTTTTAGCTTCAAACCATTGCTTTTGGCTAAAATACAAGTCCATAATCCATAATATTGCTTTGGTGAGCAAGTGATGTAATGCTAAATTTCTCCTAATCTGTTCCAATGAAGAATGAAAGTTGTTTACCTCTTGGATGAGGGTGAGTAAATGTTTCATTTTTGAGTGAACTATTCCTTTAATACAACATATATTTGTATATTTTCATTTTACATCTTTGGTTCATGTTCATATTTCAAGTTATTTGCCACTGAACATGAACATGTATCATGAAGATGCCTCAAAGGGTGCAAAATAATGCAGCCTCATTGCTTTTTCAAATGCCAACTGCTGTTTTTCTTTAGACAAGAAATAAAGGTGTGCAAGACATTGTGACAACTTAAACACACCCTCTAAACAATGTAAGCTCAAGGATTGGTTAAGGTTTGTCCAGATGTATAATTTTCCAGCCTAATGTTCAGGATGCATGCTGATTCCGAGATGCACCTAGCAATTAATTAATGATAGTTTTGGTGTTGCATGAGGGGGTCTGATTTTATGCAACACGTAAGCTGTGCCGTTTCTTCTCCGTTGTGCCAGACCAATTATTGCTGTCAATCTGAGGCATGCTGAGCTTATAAAGCCTTTACTCTAAGAATAACCACATCCCTCGACCTGTCCTCCCCCTGCTGCAGTTCTCAGCTAGGATGGCTGCCGACTCCACCATGAGACCTGAAGTGGAGGAGCTGCAGAGGAGGGCCAATCAGGTGACAGATGAGGTAATGCTGCTAACAATCACCAAAGTAGCAAAGTTCAACGTTGATTTGCATTGATTTGTGTGGATCTTCAGCTGGTGTGTGTTTTTCTGCCCTGTTTTGATGAGGCTGCTCATTAACAGGCCTAGTTCTGACATCAACAATTTTCCATTAAGGTTACTACAGGTCTTAGTTATTCCCATGGTACATAGCAACCAGGATGATGACGCTAAACACATTCTATATGCACCTGCAGCATTATTATGATTCCCACTGTGACGAAGTGAGGTAGATCGTAAATGAAGCCATTATTCATTGCCAGATCAGATTTTCCACTGGGTGTTACTTAATGAATAATGTACTGTCCGTCTGCAAAATAAATCCCAATGGGGTGATCTGGACCCTGACACAGAACACTTCTTACATGGCTACTCACCAGATAAAAAAAACATGCACATGAAATAATCATTTTAAATTGTTTTTTTAATTCTACCTGTGGGCCTATATTGTTGTCTTTTGTTAATTCTAAAAGTCCAATACAATGTACAAGACAATCAGCTTAGCTGAACACTACAACAATATTACAGTGAGTCCTCTGAGGTCATTTTCAATATAATTTATAACTATATTTTGTACTGAGTTTTAAATTATGTTCTTTAATGACCATCGTGTTTTGAATTTTTACCTCTGACAGTCCCTTGAGATTACCAGAAACATGAAGCTTCTGTTGGAGGAGGTGAGTGATTATTCATAACAGCATGCATATTATGTCTCATAATTGCAGTTACCTCATCCTGTATTGTTGAACAGTTGTTGTGGATGATATCAAATCAGTTTGTATCTCAGTGGAAACTGCCTTGTCAACATGGGACAGATTCAGCCTGAGACCACAATGAAAACCTGGGTCCAGTTGCATAAACTTAGTCTCTGTGTTAAGACTGTGTCTTAAGAACTAATCTGACCAACTAGCAATCAGCCAAGGAGTAAACAGACTTGTTTTTCGGATTCAAATTAGTATACCTTTTTATATAACTGACTTAAAACAGTTACGACTAGTCTTAAAGAAAAAAAATTTGATGACTAACTTGTAAGACTAAGCTTTTTTTATGCAACTGGATTCTAATCTAATCTAATTTAAATCTGGAAATAAACAAAAAACAATTTAGGAGTTTTGAAACAGGGTTATTATAGTAAGCTAAAATGAAAACTAAAACCATAAAACAGCCATTTTAACATATTTTAACACAGTAATATAAAATATATTAAAGAAAAACATAAACGCATAAACTTATTTTAGCTAGTTCCCAAGGCAACATCTCTTGTTTTCATTCAGTTTTTCCTGATGTACAAAAATAACTAAAACTAAAACTGAAATATCGATTAATAAAAACGATACAGACATATTTACAAAACACAAAAACTAATAAAAAGTGCAAAAACAACAACATTGCTAAAGCAAATTAAAACAAAAACATGAAAATACATAAATAAAAACTAATTAAAAACAGTTACTATAGAATCTTAATCAAAGAGATGCAATGAAGAAGAAAGATTTATGATTCTGCAATATCACAAACTGTTGTGCTGATAATATAATTTGCTTTGATTTGTTTTGAAGAAAAAATGCTAAATTCACAAGTAGTGGTCTCAAAGTTTTGTACCCCACTTTTCAAACAATCAAAATATCTTTAATTCTTTCATAAAGCATAATGTAAAATAAATGTGACCATGCAATTATTCTTTATTGTTGAGCAGCCCATTCTCTTAAATTGGCCTCTGGGCACAAACTGAAAATCATACAACAAGAGCACAATCACAATCACAAACACATTTCCTTTTTTTTTCTCCATTCATTCAACTGCAAGAAAAATAATGAATTGCCTACTAATGTGCACTCGTACTGAACTTTTTTCAATTCTTCAACAGAGTAAAGATGCAGGAATCAAGACACTTGTTATGCTGGACGAGCAGGGAGGTAATGAATTATCTTCATACACTATAGTTAGAGATAAACTGTACAGCAGCTAAACAATCAACTAATTACTTGCAAATGCATCATTAGTTGTTCATTTATCCTGTTGCATCTGTATGACAGGTAGATATTGCACAAGATGTGGTAGTATAAACCGTGTGTTCTTCATCTTTTGCTATTTACTCGTCCTTTCAGTACGACATATATAAATACAGCCATGTATGATTCTGTTCATGTGGAAATATGTACCCTCTATGTGTTTTTGTGTGCATGCTTGCATATTTCCCCTTTCAATTCCCCTTCCTCCTGCCTCCCATGCCCTCCCCCATCTCCCTCGCATGGGCAGAGCAACTGGACCGCATAGAAGAGGGCCTGGACCAGATCAACAAGGACATGAAGGAGGCTGAGAAAAATCTAACTGACATGGCCAGGTGTTGTGGTCTGTGCATCTGGCTATGTACAAAGTAGGTCTCCTCCCTGACACCTGAGCCATGGCTGCTTGGCAGTCAATGATGTCACTTCTCTGCCCATGCATCTGTCCCATTGGATAACCTGCCCTGCTTTGATGTTGCTACATGTTAGTCTTTTTTTGGCTGTTTTGTGAGCAGAGGTTCATGCAGTACCCCATGTGAACATTTGAAATAAACTTGAAAGTTGTGCAACTTGTGCTCACACAACAAAGGCAGTGTTTTAACTATGTAGATATTCATAACATCATTTTGTCTCTTTAGCTTGTCATTTGGAGCTAGATGTTTAGTCGCTTATGAGTGTGTGGCGCTTCTTGCTGAGAAAACTGTTGCTGTTTTGTTTTTTTTAATCTCGTCTCCATGCTTTAACCCCTGAAACTTCCATACCCTGTGATCCCACCTTCCATCATCCAGAGCAACTTGAGCGGACTGAGGAAGGGCTGGACCACATTAACCAGGACATGAGGGAAGCTGAGAAAAACCTTACAGATCTGGGCAAATGCTGCGGTCTGTGCTCCTGTGATAAGTATGTGATGTTTGGAGGGGCTCGGCTTCTAGTGTGCTTGCATGAAAACGTTGCATGCCTTGGTCATTTTGTGTGAACTCAGGAAATCACAGGAAACTGGTTGGATGTATTGTTCTTTTTATATTGTTCATATACACTCATAGTTTGGAATAATTAAGAATCAACATATTAGAATAATTTCTGAAGGATCATACACTGAAGACTGAAGTATTGGCTGCTGAAAATTCAGCTTTGCCAACACAGGAATAAATTACATTTCAAAATATATCAAAATAGAAAAAGGCTATTTTAAATTGTAATAATATTTCACAAAATTGCTGTTTTTACTACTGTATATTCTTGATCAAATAAATGTAGCCTTGGTGAGCATAAAATACTTCTTTCAAAAACATTTGTAAAAATCTTAATTATTCCTAAACTGACTGGTAGTGTGTATAAATATAGATTGCTCTATATAAGAGTTGTTGTGAAAGGAACAATACCAGAGAAAAATTTAAATGTCAAAATATGCACCATCGATGGTCTTTAACATTGAACTCATGCAACTCATGACTTAAATTACATAACTAGAGTAAGACAGTCTCCAACCAAATAATGTGTACTGTGATTTTTTTTTTTGTGTGGTTCATTCAAAACAGATGCAACACCGACTACATGTGTCTTCAGAGTCCGCGTTGAATCCTCAACGACAATTTAGGCAGTTACAGCTTAAATTTCAGTTTCTCAAGGTTTTAGTTATGAACAACTGGTATGACTAATCTTGTCAACATGGTCTTTCTCATATGGCTTCTCTCAGACTAAAGGACTTCGAAGCAAGTGGGGCGTATAAGAAGGTTTGGGGTAATAATCAAGATGGGGTGGTGTCTAGCCAGCCCTCTTCTCGAGTTGTGGATGAAAGAGAGAAGATGACCATGAGCGGTGGATATATTAGAAGGTGCCAGAACTTTGGCTTCTCCTCCTTAAATGTGCTTTATTCAGATTTAAAATAAATAAATAATAATAATAAAAAACCTTTAATATTTTTTTGGAGCTAGTATGCATTAATTGATCATATGCGACAGTATGCATTTATAATGTTACAAAATAATAAATCAAATAAATGCAGTTCTTTTGAACTTTACATTCATCAAAGAATATTTTACAGTTTCCACAAAAAATATTAAGCAGCACATTTGTTTTGAACATATAGAATGAGTGTTCATGTGACCCTGAATTCTGCTAATGGATGCTAAAAATTTAGTTTTGCTATCGCAGGAATGAATTACTTAAAAAAACAGTTGTTTTAATTTATGATATTTCATAACAGTATTTACAGTATTTTTGCTCAAATAGATGCATCCTTGGTGGGCAAAAAAACATTAAAAAAAATCTTAGCACCCCCAAACTTTTGAACAGTGTATAAACAATGGTTTCTGTTTGATAGAGTGACAAACGATGCAAGGGAGGATGAAATGGAGGAAAACTTGGCACAGGTCGGCAGTATCCTTGGCAACCTCAGAAGCATGGCACTTGACATGGGCAATGAAATCGACACTCAGAACGTCCAGATTGAACGCATACAGAGCAAGGTCAGTGTTTGGAAGGGTTTCAGAAACGTCTGTTCTACAAAGAGCAGCTGAACCTTTTTATATTAACTGTTCTTTTATTCTTTTTTTGCAGGCCGTGGTCAATGAATCCCGCATCAATGAGGCCAATCAGAGGGCCACAAAGCTAATAGCAAGATAAAACCATGGGATTTTCCTTTGTCGAACACGTTTACAGTCTTCTGTAGGAAAATGTGCGCACATATTGATACAAAATATTAAGTTGTTGTTCTTTTAAATGACTATTTACAGAATTTGGATTATCGCCTACTGATATGTCAGTAAGTTATTAATATTATTATGTTCCAACAACATAGTTCTTCAATACGTTAAGGAAAATTTAAATGAATATTAATATATTGTCTCTAGTCTGTGCTGTAATTATTATGTATTGTACATAACAGCACTGCTATCTTCGTTTTTTAAGCCTGCAGAAGACTTTTCATGGGTGATAACACTATTCATAGTTTTCACGGGACAACACCCTTACAGGAACGCCCACCTGGAGGACAAAACAAGGCTTTTCTCCGCTGACCGCCAGTTATTTATAAGGTTTGCATTAAGTAGTAATGCAGTAAGACAGTGATATTTAAAGGCCAAATTCAGTACACACCTTATTGATAATACAGACTTTGCACAGGCAAGCAGATGAAACCACAATATAAACGCAATGTGCGAAGTTTCACATTAAATGTTTTCCCATAGAAAACCATTATAAAGAAAACACTTAACCATTTAGAGCATTTCGTTCATATTGCAAGCTAATCTGCTTGCCTGTATAAAGCATGCATCATCAATAAAGTGTATACTGAATTTGATCTTTTAATATCACCGTTTTAAAGGCACTAAGTTTTTTCACATTAAACTTTTTAGTCACAGTTTTTAATTGAAACACTGCGGCGGGTGTTTTAAATGTATTGCAAATGTCCAAAACGTGCATTTTGTTCACATATCTTTGTTTTATCCTTTTGAGAGATTATCTAAATATTTGTGGATTGGAAACAACTGGGAAATTGACAGGCTTGTGCTGCAGTTCCCACGTGACTGAAAACTATGAATTCAGACAAAGCAGTGTCTTGAAGTTGTATTGGTAAATGTTTTTTTTTTTTGGTCTACTTTGAGTAGCTTTTTAAAAAAATAAATCCAGTTTAAAAGTTCAAGGTTGTGTTTTCATGATGGACAAGTTTTTTTTTCCCTGCTATATATGGGCCACTTGCTTAGATTCTTTAAATAATCTTTCTTCTTTCATTATTTTATTTCGAAAATGAAACTAAAATGATATTTTTTTCAGTGTTATTTATTTAGTTTCAAACATATGACTTTCTTCTGTGGAGCAAATGATGGTTTTAGTGGCAACCTCGGTCCCCATTCACTTTGATTCAGTCTTTTTCTATTCAATGAAACTGAAGGTTACTCAGTGTGGGGCATTCTCCTAACTACCTAAAAAAAAGTCAGCCAATTGTGAGTCAAATAACATTAAGGCGAATAAATTTTGATGTTTTCATTTTTGGGTGAACTGTACCTTTAAGCCATGAGACAAATCTCAACATAGCTTGTTTTTTTCCCCCGGACTCATGCGCGCATATTTGAGGAACTCACTGCACCCACCTAGCGGTTGCTGCAAACAATGCAATGCCACTCCCCATGTCTGAGAGAGAGAACCTCAAAATGGTGGCGTTGCGTGTTATTGCAAGGCCACCTCATCACTAAACTGTATAAATGATGGTAAACATTTAACAGATTCTCAAATATTTAATTTAATTTTGTTGCCGCCCTATACTTCTGCTTCATATATTCATATGATACTCGAGGAGACATAACGACCTGTGGTCCACAGATACAGATCAAGAGCTGCAACACAATCCAATGTTTCAACTTCAATCGCATCAGTTGTGTAAAGGCCTAAATTAATTCCAGCACGTCACTATGAAGAATAGCTCTTTATTTAGCAGATTATATCTAGCTGAATATTTTACAGCTGGGCATAACCAGAAAATAATATATGCATTTTAGAAATTTCCTTGCCTTTTCATATTTTATTCATTTCAGACCAAGAAATCACTATTTTATTTTATTTTTCTGCTGGAACTCTGTATATAGTGTTGAAAGTTGCCAGATACCACAAAATAGCCGGTTGGACTGGGAAAAAATGCGTACAAAACCCACAAATATTTTACGCGATATATTCAACTTGTATGTGTATAAAAGGCGACTTAAATTTACTTTAGTTTAATTGTAAGTTGAACATTTCCATGCTAAGACTGGGCCACAGGGTCTGCACTTGTAGTTAGAACTGCTTCCACACAGGCATAGGGACGGATTACTATAGAATGTTGGCGAACTATCGTTGTGGAGGGGGAAAAACACGTAGAGCTGAGTCTGCGCGACGCAGGGGCTCACTGCCTACGAAGTTTATCGGGCAAGACTACACCGACAAATCCTAGGACACATTCGGCCGCACTGTAGGTAAATACCACTCAATCTATCACTAATATCAGTAACAAGTACATTTATCGCAGTTTCGATTTGACTCCAAATTCGTTCGTAAATGCGTCTACGAAATGCGTGCGTAACGTTAATCAATTTTTCTTCCCGGCAGGCTAACGACCAACAAAAATACAAATCTGTTTGCGTTTCCTGGCGGAATGTTTGCTTGTTGCGATTTCTGAATCTATCTTTACGCGTTCGAGCGAATACTGCACGCGAGATATTTGAGAAATGGCAGATTTGGACGCTCGAGCTAGATGCTGTCTGTGCGTGATGGCGTTCGCTCGATTCTCTATGTTCCTATTGCTCTCTGACGATTAGGCAGGAAAACAACAAAGAAGCAGGAAGCATATGGGCACACCGGCGAGGCGGTGTGAGATCACGCCGCAATTAGTTGTAACAGTTAATTTAAAGTAAAAGGATCCAAGAAAAATATGATTCTATGCTTTGACCAAATAATCTCTGTCTGTGCTTGTTCTGTCCTTTTAAAGCGCAGAACACGAGCAACATTAATCACATGATCATAATAAATCAGAGGGACAGTAAATTTATTATAGCATTATGTATATGTATAGTATAGAAACGTGTTATATACAAAGCTAATTGTGTATATGCATAATTTATATGTATAATAAAAATAAAGTATTTAAAATGTTTTAAATAAAATTCATATTTTGACTCCGTGTTACAGAAGCTGAATATTAAGATGTTTTGGCACAGACAGTGTAAGAACAGGTTAGATGTGTTTAATTAGTGTTGTCACACGCGTTTTCTTTTTTTGCAAGGTAGGTTGAAGAGAATCGATTAGTTAAATGATGTTGAAAGCTTCTGGGTGAATAATAATTTTTTTTTTTTTATTATTATTTCAGCCATATAATTCATCAAGCCTTCTGATGGATGCTGCCTAGAAGCCCTGTTTGATCTGGTTGTGATTAGTTTCGAAGAGCGGAGGAAGAAGGATGTCAGAATTCATGCCATACCCTTACAGAGGGCCAGGAGGTGCTTTGATGCGCTTTAAGAAAAGAAAGTCTCGTTTCACATTCCAGGAGGTTGAACTGCTGCTCAGTGAGGTGCAGAAACAACGGCATATTCTAGTCGGTAAGACATACCTTTTTATTTTCACATCACATAATTCAGTAGGATCTGAAAACGCTCTGAAAGTATGTAAATTCTGCTTTGCATATGTGAAGGATAATAAACTCACTTGTTCAACAGGAAAGTTCAACCGGGGCATTTCGAAGGATCTGAAAAACCGCACATGGGCGGCTCTGACGGCACGTATCAATGAGGTCAGCGAGTGTCACCGAGAAATTATTGAAGTTATCAAGAAATGGGCAGACCTCAAATGTGACACCAAGCGGAGGGTGGCCGCAATGAGGGCATCGGGAGCCACGGCCACCCAAATCGCACAAGAGCTGTCGCCTATAGAAACCATGGTGCACCAGATCCTTCAAATGCCTAACCCTAACAAAAATGTGAGCAATTTGGCGATTGATGACCAAATGGATGATGAAGACGAGGACGAGGACATTCCAGATCTCTCGGAGATACCACACAGCTCCTCACACATGGCAAATGGCAGGCCTCATTCGTTTGGTTTGCCAGTGCCACCTCATTTTCACACTGCTATCCCTTGCAAAAGTGATACAGAGCTTCCTGCTACACATGGCAAATGGCAGGCCTCATTCGTTTGGTTTGCCAGTGCCACCTCCTTTTCACACTGCTATCCCTTGCAAAAGTGATACAGAGCTTCCTGCTCATATGATGTTCAGCAGTGAGTTCCTTTTTTGTTTTATTTTCCAGTAAGTGTAGGTGATTCAGAATCATCACTGAGTGTTTGGTTTTTATTTGAATGCTTAAGATGTAATAAATTTGTTACTTTTTTTGTATTGACAGATTCATCAGTGCCTCTAACAGATGTCCAGACTGACACATCAGAAAAGGAAGGTAAAAAATAATGCAGATACTTGACACACTTTTAGATTCTTTTAATCGGTCAATGGCATGTTTATTTTGTTTCGATCAACTTATTAAAAAATATATTTAAAAAAATCACTTTATTCATTAGGTGACGTGAATACACCTCTATGATGATACATGTTCTTTTGTGTTAACGTACAAAAATGGCAGGGTTGATGATACTAAAAATCTTTATTTTGTGTTTGGCATAATAGATGAGCATTATGTATTTGATTAAGTTATTATTTTTCATTAAAACTTTTTAATTAATATTTGAAAATATGATGTGTTTGGCACAATAGATGATTAAAATTTTGTATTTGATTAGTATTCTTTTAATTTTTGTATTAATTTATTTATTTTTACAAAAAATGTAATTAATATTTGAAAAACTCCTTAACTTAATTATTTCATAAATATATTTTACCTTGAAAAATATATACATGTATACCTTGAAAAACAAACAAACAAACAAAATATATATATATATTTATTTATTTGTAAGAAGTTTTACATTTTTATTTGATGGTTACACCAAGTGACATTTTTAGTTTTAGTTAATTTAAACTTGAATTGAAAATCATATTTTGTCTATTATTTTGGATACTCTTATTGTTAATTGACCATAAAATTGTATATATCCATTTTATATAATAAACAGCTTTTAAGTTTCTGGTTTTCAAATATGATGTTAATGTCTGAATCAGGGCCGTCCTTAGGGGGGTGCTACTGGTGCGTTCGCACCGGGCCCTGCGCTTGAGGGGGCCCCGCGGCGAACGGACACAGGGGGAAACTCCCACCCCACTCGAAACGCGATTGTGAATGGACCGAGGGGGGCCCCCACTCCCTACCTCGCACCGGGCCCTGCGTCAGCTAAGGACGGCCCTGGTCTGAATTAACATGTTTCTTATCCTTCCAGGCAGAAACATGCAGTTTATTCAACCAAGAAGCCAAGCAAACCAGAATCCTGTTGGTATTCCTGGATTCCTCAGCCGTCCTATTGCTGAGAAGAGCCAAGTTCGAGAGAAACCTAATCACAACACATTTAATGGCCCCTCATCTGCCAGTATCCCAACATTTATTGCACCTTCTACAGCTGCCTCATCATCACGTTCAGCTCCTGCTCGGCTCCCTCCCCAACCTGCTCCTGTGGAGCCTCGCAGTCTGCAGGAACATTTATCCCAGAGTGCCTCGCTCAGCCTGCAGGAACAGCAGGCCACCACACTGCTGATAGGGTCGCTGTCTCGCTCACTGGAGTCGCTCGCGGAGTCTGTGCAGAGATTGGTCCACACCCAGCAGCAGTTTTCACGTGACACCTTACAACTGCAGCGTGACACACTCCACGTCCTGCGTGACTTCTCCACCAATGCCTTGACTCTCCTGCAGGACAAGGTCAATGGACATCCGTAGCTCCTGAACATGGCAGTGTTATTGAAAGCTACATTTGGGAGCAAGTTACAAAAAACAGTGAATGCTGATAGCAAAGAAAAAATACAATAAGCTTGAGGATATATTGACACTAGAGTATATGGCAATCTTTAAATCTCAAATTTTGTTGTGTTATAGAGCTGACAGGACTAAAAAGATTTCCCTGTTTATAACAACATAACCAAAATAAGAAGCATTAGGAGCTGAAATAGGTTCTTTGTAGAGTTCCTTGTATTTACCAACTGAATATTTTCAGTAGATGGCTGGGTCTCATAGACTGTTTGGACCAATCGTGCACTATTATACAGGTAATTTAAATGAGCAAAAATGTATTTAAAAATAGACTAGTAATTTAAGATAATTATATTTGTGGTGCTTTTTAATATATTGCAAAGTGGCCATTAAATTGGCCGTTTTTAATTTATGTAATCTTATTTTTATTTGAATTTTCTTTATTTAGCTTTGTTATTCTGATTGTTCGCCATACTTTTAAAACAATTTCTGGCTCAAGCACTGCTTAACAGACCTGCTGTAAATGTTTTTGATCTTTTAGCCAATGTGCATGATCTGTTTTTAGTTGTTTATCTTAACTTGAATTTCCAAAGACTCATTATTGTGTTTTATTTTTCCTCTAGATGTGATTTTAAATTCTGATTGAAGGCACATTATCTTAGCTGTAGCTCCTACGGACCTGTGTTTGATCTCCCACAAATGAAAAGTCAGCACACTGTTAAAAAAATGTCTCCTACTTTAAAACCCAATGTAAAGGATGAAAATAAAACATATAATTTGAAATAATACTGATTTTTACTTGAACTGTTTTGCTCCCTTCAGATCAAAGGAATAGTTCACCCAGAAATGGGTGCTGACGATTTTCTCACCCTCAGGCTGTCCAAGATGTAGATGAGTTTGTTTCTTCATTGGAACAGATCTGGAGAAATTTAGCATTACATCACTTGCTCAACAGTGGATCCTCTGCAGTGAATGGGTGCCGTCAGAATGAGAGCCCAAACAGCTGATAAATGCATCACAATAATCCACACACCACTCCAGTCCATCGATTCAGGTCTTGTGAAGTGAACTAAACTTTTAAGTGTGCCGTACCATATGTAATTTTATGTCTGTTCTGTAGCACAGCAAACGTGGAAGTTTATAAAGAGAGAAAGATTTATATAATGGTTTGTCAACAGATGAGAAAAAAAAGAGTTGAAGTTGCTTATGAGATTATGACAATGTTTATTCTTGAATCTGCACTCTCAACACTGAATTTGCACATCTCTCACAAAAGGAATACAAAAATATCCACTAGATGCCACTCTTGCACTTTTGTTTCCACGTGCAGAACAGGTTGCTCAAAAAAACTACATTTTTACAAACATAGTCACTTAATTTGATTAGATTCATAACTAGGAGGACTAAGTTTACTTCCTAAAAAATAAAATTATAGTAAAATTCTACTAAATTACAAATGAACCAATAGAGCAATAAACAACATTTTAAAATGCAGTTAAACATATCAACTAAGTATTATTTATTAAAAGATACTATAGGAATATTAAGATGTTAAGGAAAGAATCCTGAATGAAACGCTGCCAGCTTGTTGTCTCCCTCAATAAATGGCTATTTTCTCATGATTTTCACAATACTCTTCCTCTGGTAGATGGTCTGCGGGATCCTCAGGTATTTTAAACAAAGATATGATGTTGGCAGAGAGCGAAATAATTTAAAGTCTAGAATATATTATGCACTAAATATTTTCATGCACCTCATACAAATAGTTAGTTTGTCTTGTTATCTTTATTTTTTGCTGTGGTTTGAGGTTTGTCCGGATTTAACACGCAGTAACATTTAAACAAATGTATGAAACAGCCAAAAAACTGCATCATAAAAAGGGTTAATAGTCATAAAAAAAAAACCAATAAAGTATGCACATAAAGTACTCTCACGCAGGATGTCTAAAACTTTTGCATAATTTGTCCTTCACTTGGCCTAATAAGTCAATTTTAAAGAGCCATTATTTTCTAATTAAAAGCAGACAATGGTGATTTATAAGAAGCATTGTGATGATTGGTGATTGGAGTTTCCAGCAACCCTGTAAGGTAATTCGTACATTTATTATAATTTATAGTTGGCATCAGTTGCATTGCAAATTTATACTGGTGATACATAATATATTAGTTGTATACTTACATATTTAGCTTTTCTTTCATCAGTCATCATGCCAGGCTCAGATGTTTGTATAATTCACATTTTGTCTTTAAAAATAAAAATGAAAATAAAATATAAACACATAAACTCATAATTAATCAACAGTATATATACAGCAGAGGCTCAAATGTACATCATTTTTAGTACTGTTGCAAAGTTTGGGGTCAATTTTCAGATGACTTTTTTTTTTCAAAGAAATTAATACTTTTACTCATCAAGGATACAATAAAGTTTTGAACTTTCTAGAATCCTGAAAAAATGTATCAGTTTCCACAAACATATTAAGCAGAACAAATGTTTTAACATTGATAATAATTTAAAATATTACATTTTTGCAGCAAATCAGCATATTAGAATGATTTATAAAGGATCATGTGACACTGAAGACTGGAGTTATGGCTGCTGAACATTCAGCTTTGCATCACAGGAATTAATTACATTTTGAAATATAATTAATTAGAAAACACTTGTTTTAAATTGTAATAATATTTCACAATATTACTATTTTTACTGTCTTTTTGATCAAATAATTACAGCTTTGGTGACCATAAAAGACTTCTTTCAAGGACATTTAAAAATCGAAACGACCCCAAACTTTTGAACAATAGTGTATTTATTTTGGTATAATAAATTACTAGTTTTACTAAAGTTTACTGAATTTAAAATGTACAAAATTTTCTAGTAAATGGTATAAATCAACAACAACATTACTGTTCAGATTGTTTTTCAACTGAGGCTGCACAAGTTTAAAATATCACTATGTACAAAACAGTGACTTGTACCTCATGCCATTCGAGTGTCTTTACAGGAAGAGCCAGATGACAGAGCGGACAGGTGCTTATCTTATCCAGGTCAATGTTTCTGTCTTCTGTTTCTCTCTTCTTCTTTTGCAATGATGAGAAGGAGAAACCTGCAGCTCTGACGTTTCCAGGACTGGGGTTTTCATCCTCAGAGTCATCATCCTCAACATCTGCACAATTTAAGGACTGTTTGCAAAGCAGCTAGTAAAAAAGAATAACAGAAAGATTTGGGGTGTTTAAAATAGATTTTCATAATTACATATCATAACGCTTTTCTTTTTTATTGACATATTTTACCTTGTGCTCCTTCAGAATGTCAGAGGGAATGTATTTCAGACAATTCTGACATTGCAGCATGGTCAGCTCTGGAGATAACAGATATGCCAAATCAGTATTTTACAATCACAATTTGTCTGAATACCCTAAAATATGCAGAACTTGACAATATTAAGACCTATAACACCTCTATAATGTTTCAGACTGATCATGTCATTGACTAACCATCTGTGTCAGAAGTATCATCTTCAGCGACAAGGTCCTTTGACGTTGTGGGGGTGGTAGTAGTAGAGCAGATCTGAGCGTGATCAAGCTGGTCCATCAGTTTAACGTACCGGCCACAGTCAGAGCAGCGTTCTGTGCGACTCCCACAGGACACTTTGTGCACTTTTAGACTGCTCAGAGGAAGCTCAAGCTGACAAAACTCACAGATCTGAGGCCTCTCGGAGCACTCGTCTTTCTGTAAGCAAGGAGAGACAGAAACAACAAAGGAACAGAGCTGGGTAGATTACTTGAAAATTGTAATCCGTTACTGATTCCAAATTACATGACAAAAATTGTAGTTTGTAACGTAATCCATTACATTACACATTTCAGGTAATATAATCAGATTACTTTTAGATTACTTTTGACCTTACTCACTTATCACATTGATTTACATAGGATAATCTTGTACCATATTGATATAAAAATACAAAAAGAAAGAAAATATATTCCATTTGTTGAAATTAACAACATAAATAAAATAAAAAAAGATTTTATTTGTTTACCTGCATGTCATGTGACCATTAACCAATGTCAGAGAACCTTGAACATGCAAATGTGATACTTAGTTATTAAAAATGTATTTAAAAATCTCAGGGGTACTTTAAGTCAAGATATTAAACGAAAGATGTTCAGATGACAAAAAAAGTTTGGGAATGTCTGCATTGCATGTAAATAAGAAATTATGTGAATTTGTGCATTTTAATGTGTTTGAAAGACAAATGCCTTCCAAAGACATTGAACTAGATGGTTAAATAACCTACAGAGTGATAATTCAGATAAATATTAATGTGTTCATCAGTAGTTGATGCAACGTTAAAACACCTGAAATGATTTTTGTAAATCCAGTGGTCAAATGCTGTGTAGCCACCTGACTAGTGACTGATCCCTGTGTGAATGTCCACAAAACTGGAAGACTTTCTGACTGTATATAAGCGGTAGGATATTTTAGAAAGGAACATTAAAGGATGAAAAAGAGGAATTAGGAGAATTGATCAATTATGAATAATTGATTGCTATTGTATGAATAATATGTAATCATGTAATCCATAAAAAACGTAACTAGTCTGATTACGAGTGTAATTGTAAAATGTAATTTAATCTAATTACAAGGACTTAATTTTTGGAATCTGATTACGTAATCCAGATTACATGTAATCAGTTACTACCCAGCTCTGCAAAGGAATAAGGGTGAAAACACTCAGAGAGAGAGAGAGAGAGCAGCCTCAGACATAAAATTTTCACGGTGTGAGATTGAATATTCACCTCATGATCCAACAGATGCCTTCGCTCCTTCTTTTTATTGCACATCTTACATTTTACCTGTGAGGCATAATGAAAAATGAGACCACCGACATGGTTTCTCAGAGGGGGAGATTACAGTGATGAGTAATAAGCAAGTCAAGTGGAAAACGTTTAGTGGGAAAATGCATCACAAATAATCTTTTGTGATATACAGGGCCAAGAGCCTGTAAAAAGCAGCAAAAATCATAGTGTTAATCAGTGTTGAGTGGTTTGGTCGTGACCTCTGTGTGCTGTTCGGTTTTATGCTCCTCCAGTTGATCTCGAGGCACGGTTTCATCGCAGTCAGGGCATATACACAGAAACCTCTTACAGTGTGGTTCATGCAGGTCGTAGTTTGCCTTCGCCACCTCTTTATTGCTGCATGAAAACATTGGAGAGATTCTTTACAGAGACTGGAGAATGGAAAAGGTGTTATGACACTACACTGTTAATGGCACTTAAAGGAACAGTTCACCCAAAAATATAAATTCTGCTATTATTTACACACCAGCATGCTGTTCCAAACCTGTAGGACTTTCTTTCTTCTCTGGAACACAAAATATTTTTGGAAGAATATCCTGGTCTTTTCCATATAATGAATTTGAATAGGGACTGATGTAAATAGGCTAAAGATAAATAAATAAAAATAATAATAATATATTATAAACACATATATTTTCTCAATGGGGTCTTCGGGAGTTCATAATAGAAGCAGCGATTGTCTAATTCATGAATGAATCATTCTTTTGAGAAAGATCTTTTAGATGAATTGCTTGATTAGTTCATAAAAAAGGTTTATCGTTTTCCAGTCAGAATGATCCGATTCTCCAGTTCAACACTGGGTCTCAATCACCCAGTCACAGGTTTAAGAGTTTACTGGAGGCAAAGAGTGGTAAAAAAAAAAGACTAACATATATCGGCCTGTTTTCGCATAAAGCTATCATATCGCTTGAGGAGACTTGGAATACAGAGCAAGAGTCGTATGGACTAGCCTACTCCGCAAAAGGTCCAGTCCCCTTTTATATTCATTATAGATTACTGTAAAGGATAAAATCCAAAAAGTCAAATACACCTGCTGTGTTGCCATGAGTAAATGATGCCAGGCATTTTGGTTGAACTATATTCCTATTTCCTATATGTGAACAGCAAACAGGCTAAATTAACAGCCTGAGAGTGTTTACCTCACAAACTATAGTGTTGAAACATTTCCCTAATCAATCCTGCTCAATTTCAGTAATTCAGCAAATGACCAAAGCTAGCAAAGTTCGTGTGTTGTTTCTCATAGTGTTAATTAAAATCCGCAATTTTAAATAAACGTAATCCGTCGCCATGTTACACAGCTGCTGCCATGGGAATAATTTCACTTTGTTTAAGTCACGTCATAGTTGTCGACAACATAACGAAATAGTCATTATTGTTGAGTATTGTTGAGTAGAATGTGTTTTTGTTTTCGATATTTTGTTGTTGCTACAGTAGACAGACAGAAACGTAGGCTATGCTGTGAATTGGCTGTGATCTTACATTCGTCGAACACTGTCATTTTTTTTTTACATAGCTACGTTGGCAGCAAACATAAATAGACGTTTTACCGAATCTCTGTGCGTAATACTTACAGTAACGTTACATTATAAAAGACTCACCAGTGAGTACATAAAATCAGCTCTTCTTCGTCCATAGTTAGAGTGAGATGAGTGGGTTACTAACACTACTGTGTTGGGGTTGATAATTTCACTTATCCAGAACAGAAAGTGGAACCGAAACTTAACAGATGTCGTAAATATAACACCTCTGATTGCTAAACGTCTTATCTAACAATACGACATTGCCTTGTGTAGTGATGAAAAACAACCAATCAAGACTTCACTTGACGCACTGTATGTCTCCCCTAGTAAAAATGTTTACCATAAGTTACCAAAACTCTGCATAATGTAACAGTCATGTGATGTTGCATGGTAACACGTACAGGTATTTATAGTAAGACAACAGTAACAAGGTAAAACCACTGATGGCTTCTCATTACCGTGGGTTGCAGTATTGTATATTTTCTGTAAATCAGTAAAATCTAAAGAAAAAAATCTATCCATCTATCTATCTATCTATCTATCTATCTATCTATCTATCTATCTATCTATCTATCTATCTATCTATCTATCTATCTATCACTGCAATTAAACATCATCCCTTTTCTTTTTGTTGGCAATTATGGGAGCATTATACTTTCATTGAGCAAGGATGCATTAAAATAATCAAACTGACATTAAAGACATTTGTAATGTTACAAAATAATTCTATTTCAAATAACTGCTGCTATTTTGAACTTTCTATTCAACAAAGAATCCTTAAAACAGGTATCACGGTTTCCATGAAAATATTAACTGTTTTCAACATTGAATAATAAGAAATGATACTTGAAGGATCATGTGACACTGAAGACTGGTGTAATGACTGCTAAAAATTCAGCGTTGTCATCACAGGAATAAATTACGTTTTAAAATATATTAAAATACAGATATTTTAAATTGTAATAATATTTTACAATATTACCTTTTACTGTATTTTTGATTAAATAAATACAGTCTTGGTGAGCATAAGATACTTATTGAAAAAAATATTTTAAAAAGCACCAACCTAACTTTTAAACTTTTTGTTATATATGTAGATTAGTATATTTCATATATGGCTGTTTCTAAACATAATTTTATAATATGCTGGTTTGTAGTTAGCTGTAGAATTTTGTTTAACATTTGCGGTCATTAGCCAACCTGTTGCTATATGGAAAGGAAATTTCAGACTTATGTTTAACTGCATTTAAACTATAAATTTTACCTTCCCGGATGAAGCAGTTTACTCATTTACAATGTGCATGCATTAGTATGGATCAGTTCATGGTGTTCAGCTTTGTGTCTTCTCTGCATGATTACTGCTCAGCTCACGTATGCTGTCACTTTAGTCAACCATTAGGAGTCTGATGGACTTCTGGATGGATGTCCTTTGTTGGCCCCATTAGCAGATACTCACTTATGTTGACTCTCCAGTTCAAGATTTTATTGAGCTGTTAGTTTTGAAAAAATGTTCTCAAAGTAATTGAACAAGGCTTTTGAATCAAGGCCTCCGAGACATCAGACATCAGCGGTTAATGGATGTTTGTCAGCAGAAACAGCACAGGAGCAGACAGCTGTGTCACGCCAGGTGAATCACAGTAATTACGGTATTGAGTTTCACATTTTCACTCTTGCCGCAGATGGGTGTGGACAGGAAAGTTTACACAGACCAGTTAATTTCTCTAATTCCGCCTGAGTGGGTCATCTGTCGCCTGCAAACTCTGATCAGAATTGTGATCAGCATTAGCGCTGCCACAGCCAAATACATACAAGGGTAATCTGGCCTGATGCTGTTTTACATAAAAAAGTGAGTTATTATAGTGAAAGATTGTACGCTGCAGGCCTGTTTTGTAACGGTTGTGTTTGCGTGCATGTCTCTTGTTATATAATATTAAAGGTTACAGTTCCTTGCTCCACCAGTCAGACCAGTCAGCATAGAGCAAAACAAATAACTGTATGTTAGCATCAATTCAACAGTCAAAGAGTGAGGAGTTCTAGTCTTACATCCTTAATTTCTCGTCTCCT